TGTGAAAAAAATCATGGTTGGATTTGAATTGGGGATCCTTTTGCTACCGTATTTAAAAGAATATTATAATGACTTTTAATTAATCTTAATAAATAACATTAATGCAGAATATGAAAGGATAATCAGCTTATACACAAATAGAATAAAGAGATGAATTTAATGAAATTGAAGATGGAAATATAAGAAAGTGATATAAATGACTACAATAAAAAAAAAAGTGTATACTCTTATTTTCTTGAAAGAACGTGAAAGAAAGAAAAGAAAGATAAAGGGTTTAAAAAAAAGTAAAAAATAGATAAAGAAATATAGAGGGTTTAAAAAAATAGATAAAAATATATAATGTAATTAATTTTTTATTTTCCTTAAATGATGATTCTCTTTATATACTCACAATATTTTTAATCATTATGTATTTATGTTAATAATAAAAGTTGCAAACAATTTCATTGTTTCATCTAGGGGTGTTCACGGGTTGGTTTGGATCGGTTATTGGTCAAAACCAAAACCAAACCAACTTAATCGGTTTTAAAATTATCAAAACCAAACCAAACCAAATGTAATATACATTTATCGGTTTCGGTTTGGTTTGGTTCGGTTATTCGGTTATTAACCATACACAAAAATAAAAAAAAACAATTCATTTAAAATGTGATAAAAGTGACAACAATCCATTCAAAACGAAAAATAGTTAGAATGACTTAAATTACTGAACTTTCGATCACTAAATTTACTATCAATAAAGCTTTAAAATTCACTATATTGGCCTAGAAGGAAGAGACAATAACATTTTCAGTCCCACAAAGAATTGACATAGACACTCATATACATGAAATAAATAAGATAAATATTTCATCTTGGGCATTTTTTCTTTCAATAAGTAAATTATAAAGAAATTTTAATGAAAATATGTATAAGATCTTTAAAATTGTTTATAAAAACAATATATGTATATTAATAAAATATATGTATATAATTCATCGGTTCGGTTCGGTTATCCCATAAATACGTAATTATTCTAAATGAAATATATAATTTTTAATATTATAGAGAATGCCAAAAGTTTCAGATTAGGATATTAGAATATTTTTTTTCCGGAAATGGGATCTTTCTTCCGTTTCCAACTATACAATTAATATTTAGAATATTAAATGTGATTATAGAATGTTGAATTAATCTTTATCTTTCCTTAATTATAGTAAAATTGTAATTAAACGTTTATTGTAATCTTTCTATTTCCTTAATTATAATAAAATTGTAATTAAACCTTTATTGTCCATAAATGGTAATTTTCTTTCTATTCTTGCAATGCAATTAATGCTTAATATATTGAATGTAATATTAAATCATATTATATTTAGTGTGATGAAAAATTTAAAAAATTGAGAAAATAGATAAATAGAAATCCTGGCCTCTAAGAGGTGCCACATCAACGGTTTCTCATTCAGATTTATATATATATATATATATATAGATATAGATTCTAACAAAGCTCAAATCAAAATCAATTCAATACATCTGCTAACAAAAAAAATCAACTCAATTATTAAGAATGACAATAATGTTGAATATTTGTTCTTTAGTTATTATATTGGTTTAGATTTATTAGACTTATTTTAGCATGATTTTATACTTTAAAATCATGATCATTTTCATTTTGCCTTGTTTATTTGCAATATTTATTTTATGTGATTTTTTTATTATTTTGTTGAATATTTTAGTGTAATCACTCATATCATATTTTGTGTTATTTTCTTAAGAAACACCTTAGATAATTATATTTTGGTAGACCAAAGAAATATTTGAAACACAAGTTAATTATATTATATTTGTATGAATACTTTACCGAAAAAAATTAAAAAACCCCGAAAACCTGAAAAAACCCAAAAAAATTCGAGGTTGAGAAATCCAAATTTATTAGTTTAGTTTGGTTTTGTTTATAGATCTAAAAACCTGACATAAATGATTTGGTTTGGTATTTAAAAAACCCGAACCAACCCGGTCCATGTACACCCCTACATATAATGAATAAGTTTAATTTTAGAACATTATACCTCAAGAAGCTAGTTCATACACAATTTATGCTCTATAGCTATAGGTCATAACATGTGCCTTGCAAATATTTTTTCGCCTTAGGCATAACATATTCCTTGGGTACAAGTTCAGTAGTATAAGTTTCTTAAGACATTAAGTTCTAAAATTGAACTTTATGCCTTATAAGACATAATTCTGAAACTGAACTTGTGCCCTGTAAGACATAACTCATGTCTTGGAACACAACTTTAATTTTAGAACTTTATGCCTTGAAATTTCATACATCGAACTTATGATATGCCTTAGACATAAATTCTGTAGTATGAATTTTTTAAGACATAAAGTTCTAAAACTAAACTTATGTCTTATAAGATACAAAAATTTAAAATTAAACTTATGTCTTGTAAAACATAACTTGTGTCTTTGAAATATAAATTCAGTTTATGATTATTATGTTTTAAGAAGTCATATACTGAACTTATACCTTTAGGGTATATGTTCAGTAATATGAACTTGTGTCTTATAATGCATAACCTGTTTCCAAACAATTTTCTTGGGGACACCAAACATAAAACATGCCTATCTATTTGAGTGGGCTGAAATACTTGGGGGAGGAAAATAACAAAATAAATATTCCATCCGTTTAACAATTCTTGTTCATTATTGACTTTGTACACTTTTTAATAAACTATAAAAAGAAATGTAATTTTACTATATCATTCTTTAAATATAATAAATACAATGTCTTAGAAAATGTAATAGAGAAATAATTAATTATAATTAACGACAAAGGTAAATTAGGAACTAAGTGTGAAATTATCCATTAATTTCATAAAGTGAACAAATATTGTAAGACATCCCAAAATAGTATAGTGAACCACTATTGTTCAACGGAAGAAGTGTAAGATTCATACCCTTCATCTCATAGAGAAATGCATCCAATAATTATTGCATCATCAGATACTTTGAATTTAGATGCACACATTTTTATTTAAATATATGTAAGTTCAGATTTAGCCCCTATCTATGCATCTGAAGATAATAGATAAATAATAACTACAGAATAGGAGTACAATGAAGTGGACCAATGTAACTTCTTATGTGAATATTAAAATTAAAAGTTGAGGTAAAATAATATAGTGGAGAAGGGGACCAATGTAACTTTTTATCTGAATATTAAAAAGTGAGGAAAAATTAGGATATAATTTATCTAAGAAAAAATGTATGTTATCAAGAAGTTAGTTCATTGAAAGTAGAAAATTACTTGCAAAGATATTCGAAAACTAATAAATTTCTTTTGAAGATATTCATATTGTTTATATAATTATAACCCTATAGCTTTAAATGTGTTATACATAACTTAACAAAATTCTGTATTTTGTTGGGTTAATTAATTTTTTCCCTAAATTAATTGTAAATGATGTCGATTATTATATTAATATAATAAGGCTATTTGATATATAAAGAAAAAAAATGGTAAATATATTTTTCAACTTTGTGATTTAGAATATATATATATATATGTGTGTGTGTGTTTAAAAAATGATGCATCTATAATTCTCTATGTCTAACAAATAATGTATATTTTGTTGATAAAATATCTATATTATCTTAAAAAGTATAAGAATAATATTTGAAATTATTTATTACATATTATTACCTTAATAACTTAGCTTATTAATATTATATTAAGGTTTTTAATCTTGTAGCCAACCGTTTGTTTTCTTATTATGGCAGTTGTAAATTGCCTTTATGGCATTAATCATCTACTATTGATTTGGGTGTTACAAAAGGTCCATTGGAATATTTGGTAATAATATATAGCCTTTATGGCAATTATTTGGTCTTAATGTGCATTATATGCACAGCTGATGGTATGCTTTTTACCATATACCTATATATCTATATATAGTACTTTTGTGTGTTAAAAGGAGGAGAACGAGATATTACATTAAAATAACTTTTTTTTCTTATTTATTTGTTGGGTTTTCTTAAGTAAAATATATTCTTTATTAGATTCTGGCTCCTAGTTTTAGTACTAGAAGAGCTTGTTGAATTCTGGGGAATACATCTTAACCGGTGAAATATTCTTAAGAACAGTGCCATAGGCACGCCTCAAGCTACGTGATTTTCAATAATTTTCCAACATATTTGTCCTCGTTAATATATATATATATATATATTTATTAAAAATAATTTTAACTCTAATTTTTAATTTCAAATTTGTCTTGTGTCCTTAAAAAATTACCTCACCATTTCATTTACCCCTCCAAATGTGAGCCAAAAGAAAAAAAGTAATTCCTCTCTGTCATAAAATGTCTGGATCGAATTTGAACTAAAAAGGATTCAAACTTTTTTTAATCGGGTTAAATCTGGATCAGGTATAGAGGGGTAACGAAGATGGATGAAGTAATTTTTTAAAACCGCGTGATATTTTAAAAAATTTAAAATTATTTTGGATTTTTAAAAAGAATTCAATCTATTTATTTACATTATTTGTCAGACAATAATGGTAAATATTAATCATTCATTGAGAATATATATTGTTATTTATTAGATGATGAAAATAGATATGCATAAATTTTTTAATTAAAAAGGAAAAAAGTCTGAAATATAAATAAATTTTAATCAAAATTGTTATAACAATTTCAAAATTTAGGCAGAATCTATTACATTTATATTATTTAATAGTCTATTTTAATATATACTATTAAATAATGCAAAATAATAGATCTAACTCAAAATTTGAGATTATTACGATAATTTTGATCAGATATATTTCAAATCATTTTCCCAATTAAAAACTAATAGTTATCCTTTCGAAAAGGGGAAAACAGAAGCAGTGTAACCTCTTTATCTTTTTATATTATAAACAGAACCGACTTTACCAGTAAAAAGCATGGGATGAAAGAATCAAGAAACTTTCACATGTATTTCCCTTATTGGGTACTCAAACACTGAGCACAAAATACGTGGAGGATTTTCCCATATAAAAATGACATATGTCCATCATTATCACCACTATTTCAATTATCACCATTTTTAACAAACTCTGAAAAAAAAAAGTGAGAAAAATGGAAGATGGTATGAGTGATATTGCAAATTTTGGATTCTCCAACGAATTGAAAGAAGAAAGTCAAGAAAATGTTGGAGAAATGAGTAAAGGTGACAAAGAAGGTGGGGTTATTAATAATTTAATTTCCAATTTGATGAGTCCAAGAGCAGGGGAACCTAAAAACAAAGAAAGAAATGAACTTTTTGAGGCTTATGATAAGGAGAAAAGTAGTGATGAGAGTAATGGAGGTGGAGGGATAATTAACAATTTGATCTCCAACATTTTTCATCCAACTGAAAATTCTGTGGAGAATCAAGAAGTACAAAAAGGTGAGATGAAGAAAACAGAGGAAGAAAGTGGGAGTGTTTTGGATAATATTATGTCTCACTTGCCAACCCCTCTTGCAGGTACTTCGATATCCTTATTTTAAATGTTTTTCAATTTTCTCATGTTTCGTAATCTTGAATTTTAAGTGTTTGTATATGTGATTTTGATCAGATGATGCAGTTCCAGCTACAGATGAGGCTTCAATCCTCATTCATTCCATTGTTCATGACTAATGTAGAAGATGATTAATCAAGTGGGGGTGTATGTGGATAGACCATAGTTAATTCACATTGTGTTCACTGCTGCCTGCTGGGCTTCTTAGACAGGTGTGTTTTGGTTTGAAGACAGGTTATGCGGTTTAGTTTTTTCTTATTGATTTGTTTGTATTAATTTGGATATTCGATTTTGATTACTCATGTGGAGCTGATTCAATCTGACCACATCACCTCGAATTCTAAGAAGAACAGTATATTTAATTTGTGGAATCAGAGTTCTGTTTCCTAATGAAATAGAATTGGCTTGGAGGAACTTTTTTGTTATAAAGATATAACATCTTTTTCGCTGATGTTAACAGATACACATTGTTGTTCCTATTACGAATATCTAAACGATATTATCAAGAGAAAGATTTTAATGTTCTATTGATATGAATACACTGTTACGCATCCAAAAATGTACTGAAAATTGTTTTCGGTGAATATAGTAATTCACTGCAATTAAAATTTAAACATTTTCAGCTATTATCTCTTTTAATATCTTCATATTGGTATCAAATTGATTCTTTCTCTTGAACATGATGAATTTTAATACAGCTATTACTTTACACTTGAACTGTATCAAATGAAACCAAATATATATACACATTAAAATTTCACTATTATAACAAAATATTTTTTCTTGTCTTAAGTAGGTAACTTGTAAGATTCCAAATATTGACATGCACAAGTTGAAAAATACTACATCAGAGATGAATTGATCTCCACATGTACTGAGATTATACTACATTTTGGTAGGATTTAGACCATGAATTCATGTGATCCTAGAGACCTAAATTAGGGATTTCAGACCTTAACCTAAAATTAATAAATTACTGATTTAACTAATTTAATATTTTCAAAACTCAATTTTGATTATTACATTCGACTGTATAAGATATATAAAGCAAAATCGACAAGTTGTGTACCTTGTATGTATTTGCAGCGGAAGTCATTGATTTTGCTACTTTAGCAGGATTGCTCCAAAGTCCCTCTTTGAATAACTGAAAAACAAAGTTTGATTCACAAACTAAATGTATATTTGTGTTTCACACCTTTGTTGATCTTCATACATAAAAAGTTTTAAGTTTTTTTCTGGTTTTTATTTTCTTTTTGTTGTTCACCACTACTAAAAACCGCTAAAAACGACAGAAATAAAAAGCAATGGACAGTGTCGCTAAAAAAATGACGCCATTTGCGACGCTGTCCGTCGTTTTGATTATTTATTTTTCAAAAAGCAACAGACAATGATTCTATGTTCGTCGCTTTTTTTTTGCTGGATTTTTGCGTCATATATATATATAATAATTATTTATTTAATATACATAGAGATGTCGTCCATCACTTTTTATTAGAAATACTTATTTTTTAATTAATAAATAGTCATGCCGTACATTGTTTTAAATTTATTTTAATTTATCAATATTTTTTACAATAGCGACGGACGATATGTCTTAGTCCGTCGTTATTTGGTCCTAATATTTTATAAGGTGTGGATATCTTTCGTGCATATCAACCTCAGCCTCTCAAGTGGACTCTTCAATCGATCGATTCTTCCACTGGACCTTCACACATGCAATCTCTTTTGATCTTAACTTACGAACCTGTTACATCCCGAAAATTTATAAGTTAAGACCCGAACTATTCTTCATTTATGTATAAGGGTGTGCCAAGTGATTCTTAATTGTTCTTAGGTGCTAAGGTCAATTCTTTAGTGTGAGAATGATTTTGGATATAAATTAAGGTCACTAGAATCTCCTAGCACAAAGTTGAGTTGAAAGCTTTCTTATCGATTGAGTTTCAATATAAGATTTTACTTGGGTCAATTTCAAACAAACATATCTCCCAGCTCATAAGGAATTAGGTGGCCCATGACCTATCAAATTAAAGCTCTACATGCTCTTTACAATGCCACCAACTTTGCCTCATTTCGAGTTCGGGGAAAAGTTATGCCTATTTTAGTAAAACCTTGTCAGACAGTCGATGTTCTACGACTGGACCTACGGACGGTGGAAATTTCCATGATTGGTAGACCATTTCGTGAAAGCTTTGCTGCACTTTTTTTTCAGCAACTTCCTGCACACGTTTTAGAGTTATTTTGGTCCTTTCTCAAGTTTTTAAACCCTATTCTAAGTCATTTTTGAGTGTTTTAACTGAATATATCATTCAACTGACTAGTTTTTCTCTCAAAATAATCAATTTAAACATTCAAGTATTTAGAAATTCTCTTAAAACTCACACAAGGTTCCTCTTCTCCAACAAGAACCCTAAAACCTTCAAGTAAAAAATTCAAGATACTAAGAGAATCCTTCCACCCAAGGTTTTCCCATGTTCTTCCACTCTAAGAACTTCATAAAGAGTTTCTTTATCAAGAGCAAGAACCTAGATCCCAAGATCAAAGGTTTCCTCCAAAAACCTAATGTTCTTCCTGAAGCTCAAGATAATCAGGTATGTAAGACTATCATAGTGATGGACTGAGTTCATCCGCACGCCCTACATCTACTTTCTATCAGTAAAGGATAATCTAGGATTACATCCTTAATTTTGAAAATTCTTGAGATAAGTTTCATTGTTGAGTTCTGAATTCTATCTCGATTATTGAGTTGGTATATATCTTGTATTGAGATTCTTGAGTTGATTGTTCATGTCCATTTTCAGCATGAGCCCTAGTATTTGAACATTTATTGAGTTATTATTGAGAATCTTTTTAACCAAACAATTGTCTTAAACTGATTTTCTGAGAAAGCTAAAAAGAGTTTTGAGATGAGTTTTATACATGATTTGAGCAAGAGCCTAAGAGAACTAAGTATTTCCAAATGTATCATTTTTACATTGAGAAAAGAGTTACATTGATTTCTAAATGAGTTGATGAGTTCAGAGATACTTTAGAGCAGTTACCTCTCTTGGATATTTTGAGCAATTACTTCAAATTGAGAAAGAGTATGTTTTATACATTTATGATTTGAGCATGAATATATATATATATATATATTTATTTATTTATTTATTTATTGGGAGTAATATTGAGCACGAACATGGGGTTAAGTTCAGACAACTCACAATCCTCATAAACCATGTAGCCAATCTGGGTAAAAGATCATACTTTTTAGATGACTCCTTATTGCTTTCGAGCAGAGTTTTAGTGGATCCACTTAGTTGAGGTATCCATTATCCCGACAAGGTATAGAAAGTTGTTGCAGCGTGGGTGAGACGATGTATCGTCACGTAGCTCATAGTGATGGTTGTCGGTTAGAGAATCTACCAAATAAGAGTAAAGAGTATTTTATTGTATTTTTATATACATCCTTGAGTTAAAATCTTTTATTTATGAAGCTTTAAATATTGGCATCTCTTCTTATTGTTTTGTATTGAGTTCAGTTGAGGTAAGTATTCTTTCTGCCTTATCAATTCAGTTCTTTATCTATTCAACTATATTACATACTCATACATTCAATGTACTAATGTCATTTGACCTGCATCTTTATGATGCAGATAGGTGTTGATCAGGATCATCAACAGGTGTTTCGTTGAGATCACTTTGCAATTTAGAGAGCTTGGGTGAGCCTCCTTGCATTCTAGAGGACTTCACATTTATTTTCTAGTCAGTGCTCTTGAGATGTTGTGGGTCTTGTATCGACATTCATCTTGAATAATAGAGGGTTCATAGATAGATAGAGTTAATGAGTCTCTCAGTATTTACTTTTCCTTGAGATGTTTTTGCAAACTATTTGTAACACCCCGAAATTTTTTTAAGCTAAGACTCGGACATTCTTCGTTGTGAGTAAGATTTTACGGAGGAATTTAAAATTTTCTTAAGTATTAAGATCACAAGATGTAGCATCTTGATTTTCAAAAAGAATATTCAAGTCATTCCTAAGTTCTTTTAAGTTTTGCATCAACTTCAAACGACCATAACTTTCAGCACATGATGAGTTAGGAGACCCATAAAATACCAAATGAAAGGTCTTGAAATCTTCTTTCCAATGCCACCAAGTTTGCTAATTTTTGAGCTCGTATGAGGGAGTTATTCCCGTTTGAAGTCAAGTTGTCCAATTAAGGAAAGTTACCCAAAAATATGAGAGGTATTTTGGTCTTTTCCTCACCTAATCAGATTTAAACGTTTTTAGTAAGGTTTTAGGAGTCTGAACTGATTAGAATCAGTTTCATTCATGCCCAAAGCGCTTAGGGTTTTAGAGAGAAGATTCAAGAGGAGAAAAAGTTTAAAGCTTCAAGCGTTCGTTCAAGAAATTCAAGATTTCGCCAAAAACCTAGTTCTTTGAGGTATGTAAGCTTCCATAGTATTGGGTTTGTTCATCCACACATCAATCATGAGTTTCTCTTGCGAATCTATCCATAAATATTGAGCAGTTAAATTTCTTGATGAGTTCTTGATAAGTGTTCTTGAAGTTTCCTTATCGATTAAGTTTTGATGTAAGATTCTACTTGGGTCAACTTCAAACAACCATATCTCTTACAATATAAAGAGTTACGAGGCCCATAACCTGTCAAATTAAAGGTATTTGAATCTACTTTCCAACGCCACCAATTTCGCATCAATCCAATTTCTGAGTAAAAAGTTATGACCATTTTAGTAACCGGATACAGTGCTATTACGAATTAGTCGATGGGAAAACATTAAAAAAGATCGTTTTTGTCTTTTTACCTCAAAGAAAACCCTAAATCAATTTCTTGACTAATAAAAGGCTCAAAACAATCAGATTTTCTATCTTTTAATCCATCATTCTTTCTCTCTCAAATCCTAGGGCAAAACCCTAAGGAAAAATCAAAGTAGAAGACTCCATTCAAGATTCTTTCAATCTTTTTCAAGATTCTTCTTCAAGGTAAGTCTTTCTCCAAGAATTCCATTCTTTTCAACTCAAATTCCTCCATACAATTATGAATCACTAATGAAAATCATAATTCTTGGCCATAGAGATTTCAAGAAACTAATTCAAGAATCTCAAGAAAGGTTTTCTTGATCGTTTACCTTCAAGCTAGGGTTTCAAGGCTTCTAATCAAGTTCTTCTTCGAGATTCTTCAAGAACCTTGTTATTCCAGGTATGTAAGGCTATTATAGTGTTGGACTAGTTCGTCCTCACTCCCTGGATCTTCTTTCAAATCAGTAGAAGAGTAATCTAGTAATTTTTCCTAGATTTGAGTATTCTCGAGATAAGTTGATTTTGAGTTCTTGAGTTCATGTTTATTTTAAAAATTCTACTCCTAATTCTTGAGTTTCTATATTGTTATTGAGATCCTTGAGTTGATTTGTTCATGTCTATATTTCAGCATGAACCCTATTTTGAGTTATAAATTTTGAAAAGTTTTTTTAATGCCAACACTTGAGTTCTTAAACTGAGTTTTGAGAAAGTAAAGATGAATGTTGACAAAAGTGTTTCCAAAACATGATTAGTATGACAATCGAGTAAGACATCAATGTTTAAGCAGTATGACATCTAGTTATGTCATCAATGTTTAAGCAATATGGTGTCTAGTTATGCCATAAATGTTTAAGCAGTATGGTAGCTAGATATACCATCAATGTTAATGCAGTATGACTTTCCGAGTCATCAATGATCATATTTTAATATGATTTTGAAATGTTTTTGAGAAAGAGTTTTCAAGTATGAGTATAAGGGGACTATGTATTCCCAGAAGCATCAATTTTTACATTGAAAAAAGAGAAACTAAGATTTCTAAATGAGTTATGAGTTCAAAAGTTATTTCAAGAATAGTTACCTCTTTTAAGAGGGTAGTTTGAACAATTATCTCAAACCAGAGGAAGAGTTATGTTTTTTTACAACATATGAGCATGAATATATATTATTGGGAGTAGTATTGAGCACCGATATGGGGGAGAGTTCAGACAACTCACAACCCCCATAAACCATGTATGCCAACATGGGTAAAGGGTCATACTTTTTAAATGATTTCTTATTACTTTTAAGCATAGCTTAATGGATCCACTTAGTAGTAGGTTCTATACCCTGACAAAGTATAGGACAGTCTGGCAGCGTGGGCTAGAGGATTTATCATCACATAGCTCATAGTGATGGTTGTCGGTTAGATATCCCAAATAGAGTTAAAGTGTATTTCTATATATCACTTATTATGTTGAGTTCGGAGATGAGAAAGTATTTTGTAAAGCTTTAAATGATTTTACTCCTTTATATCTTTACATTAATTTTGAGTTCATTGTTATCTATTGCAAGCCTTTCTTTCGGTTATTTGTTATTCAACTATATTACATCCTCGTACATTCAATGTACTGATGTCATTCGACATGCATCCTTTTATGATGCATATATATGTGTTCATGATTATCAACAGACGCTTCGTTGATATCACTCTACACTCCAGTTAGATTTGGTGAGCCTCTTTGTATTCCAGAGGACTTCACAATTACTTTCCAGTTATAGTTTTGAGGTGTTGTGGGTCTTGTCCCAACGTCCTTCCTTAATAGTAGAGGCTTCATAGATAGACAGTTTTGGAGAGTCTTTTAGTTACATATATTTTATTTAAAACTACTTATGTTTCATACTAAGTATATCCAGTTTAGTTTTGAGATTCAATAAACTTTTTTTAAATGTTTCTTTCAATTTGATGCTTATGTATGCTCAAGTTAGTTTTCCGCTAGTAGTCAGCCAGGATAAGGGTTCGCTTGGGGACCAACAATGGTTCTTGAGTACCGGCCACGTCCAGGATGTAAGCTCGGGTCGTGACACTATTATACTTATGTTATTGAGTATTTCGCCGACAGTTGAAGTTGAGTATTTACTTTGAGTTTAAATGTTCTAAATTGTGTTTAAAGCCAATTATTGCTTGAGTATGTCTTCCGCTAAGTAGCCAGTCAGGCTAATGGTACGCTTAGGGACCAACAATTATTCTCGAGTGTTGGCCATTTCAAGGTGTAGGCCCGGGGCGTGGCAGAACCTTCCTATCTAAAATAGCTGCAGACTCCTCTCATATGATAGATTCTCATCAAGTAGGACCGAATCACAACGAATAGTGTAGTTTCCATCACCATGATATTTCTTAAAAAAGGACATATGAAATATCGAGTGTACTCCGTACAATCTTGGAGGCAAAGCCAATTCATAGGTCACCTCTTATATACGCTTAAGAACTTCAAATGAATCAATATATCTTAGACTAAGCTTAACTCGTTTACGAAACCTCATCACACCCTTCATAGGGTGAAACCTTCAGCAACATTTGCTCTCCCTTCATATACTCCAAGTCTTTGACCTTACGATCTGCTTACTCTTTTTGCCTGCTCTGAGCTGCTAGAAGTTTCTCTTGAATGAATTTAACTTCTCTAACGATTCCCTCAAAAGATTTGTACCCCAAGGCCTCGCATCAAATGCATCAAACCAACCAATAAGAATCCTACATCTCCTCTCATATAATGCCTCAAATGAGGCCATATCAATACTCGAGTGGTAGCTATTATTGTACAAAAATTTTGCCAAGGGTAAGAACTAATCCCAATGACCATCAAAATCTATTACACATGCACGAAGATCCAATCTGAGGGTGAAATGCGGTACTAATCCTCCAACACTTGCATTGTCCGCCCAGACTGCCTTCACTCTGAGGGTGAAATGCGGTACTAAGATCCAATCTAGTACCTAACTCAGCCTGCAAGGTCCTCCAAAAGTTAGAAGTAAATTATATACCTCTATCTAATATGATGGAAATCAAAATACATAAAGTCATAACAAAAATCAACTATAACACTTAGCAGGTGGCAAGCAACAAACAAATAAACAAGTGGCAACAATACCGAATCAAGTACGTGATCAGTCAACAATATCAAGAATAAACATGAGGACTCAGGCCTCCACACCACGCTCTTTTGGGAATTGGGTTCTTTGAGATTGAGTACATTAAGTTATTTTAATATGTTTTCCTTTAATGTTACACCGGAACGTGACACCCGATCCAATAATATCGTGACTACTCGTGCACCCGATCCAAATATATCTTGGTTGCTCGTGGCATCCGATCCAATAATATAGTTAATTCATCATTTATTTCTCATCATTTTCCACTTCATTAACAATATTTCATCAAGCCTTCTTTAATTTGTTCAAGGCATCACTTTTATAGAGCAAGTTTGAGATTATGGATTCCGCAGTCTTGCGATTACAAACCAATCACAACAACGTGTATATCATCCAAACCACAACAGTTAAGTACATAGGAAATTTCATGACATAACTCAATGACTATCAATCACTATTAAGAGTCTCCCTATCATATAGAACAACCCATAACCTACCTCAATCGAAGAACTGAAGTCCAGCAAGCTAATTTCCCACTGCTTTTTCTTTCCTTAATGCCCTAAAATGTTTGTAATCTATCAAGTATACAATATTAGTAAGCAAACGAGTCCATAGACATCCATATTGCTATACATCTAGCGTAGATCTCAAAAATCATCAAGCACAAATCTATATTCAATTTTCTAATCTTGATGTCAATTAATATGCCAAGTCTCCTATTTCTTAATTTTTTGCCTGGAATTAAGTCTCAATTCTTTCAATTACCATAATTTTAATGAAATTCATATAATATAATACACCTATATTTAATTACGTATCTCAATATATCACAATTTACTTTATAATCTAATAATAAAAAAACTCCCTCTGTCCCAATTTATGTGGCACTTTTCATATTTTGAGATTCAAACAATTTAAGTTTGATAGAGAATTTGCGCATCGAATCTTCAATTTTTTGAAATAAAATTTATATATTTATAAACTAGGTAAAAATTAG